CAGGGCGTGTGGTAGCGCACGGAGAAGACGACGAGGTTGTCCATGGTGACCTTGTCCAGGTCGCTCTCGTAGGAGATGGCCCAGGCGGTGCCGGCGGCGTGCTCGCGGCTCCGGGCGTGGAGCTCGCCGCCCGCCTTGTCCGGGTTGTCGACCAGGCACCCGGGGGGCGTCCCGGGGCCGACCCAGGGCTCGGTGCGGTTCTGGCCGTCCTGCCAGTCGGAGACGTACTGGCCGTCGTAGGAGAGGGTGGTGAAGGCGCGGTTGTTGGCGAGCTCGGTGGTGAAGGAGGCGCCGGCGGGGAGCTCGAGGAACTCGCCGTCGGGAGGGGGGACGAGGTGGCAGCCGCGGTCGCGCTGCTGCCACCAGACGTCCTTTTCTAGCTGGTAGAGGGGGTTGACGATGAGGTTGGTGTTTTGGTTGTCCTCTTTGGTGTCGTTTCCGCCCTGTGTTGCTCGAGTCAGACTGTGTTGGAAGGGGAAGGGATGGGGATGTATATTACTCTACAGTACATGCCCGGGTTCCAGGTCCCGACGTGAGCGTTGGCCGATATGGCAAGGAGAGAAGCAATGACGGCGTGAGATAGCATGGTTGATTCTGTTCTCCGGATCTACAGAGAAGAAGGAGTAATGACTGGATAAGCGAATTGAAAGAGATAGGCAGTGAATAGAATGGCAGACCGAATCAAGAAACACAAAGAGAGAATGAATGAGCACTTGGCTTGCAAAATCAAAAGATTCGCGATGGAGGGAGGTGAGGGCATTCGGGATTCATATAGGAGGGTTCGGCCGATCAACAGCTCAGCCATCACCTACATGTGCCAAGAAGACATCGCATTACAGCACACGCATTAGGCTGGGCCAGCTAGCCGCCTTACGGGTAGATCAGTTTCATCCAGGAAGAACAGCCCACGGCCTAGGAGATGGTGTGGCCTGGGCAAGGCTTGGCCGGGAAGCGTGGGGGAGAGGCGCATCACGGCCCTTCATCTCGGTAACGGCCATCGACAAGGCGCGGCATCTGAGCAACGGCAGTGATCAAAGTGCTGTGCCGCAGCCGGATGCACACATTCTGCTGATAAATCGTGACAGTCTGCGTCTTGATTTGCCGGTTGCTGGTTCTAGACGCTGCACGTTCATTTTTAGTTGAAACTGATCCGCCCGTCTCACCTCTTGGCCCCTGCTGCCCCCCCGGCCGATTCTCAAACGCCTTGTACATGCAGAGCCGTTGACAAAGAGCTTTGAAGCTTGCCGTTTCTGGTCATATTCACGGAAAAGATTATGCCCAGCCGATGACCAACAGATGTATAAGTGTCTAACCCCACAACCACGGTCCTCGTCAATTATATCAACCTTCCTTTGCCACCATCTGGAGGCTCGATTAATTTGGCTTGCTCGATAGACGCATTTCCCTCTGTGGATTATGAGACCATTTTTTGCCACAATATTTGACAACGTTGATGTGAAGCCATGGGAGTATTGGGGGAGTGAAGTCTCTCCCCAGCCGCGCAGGGAAATAAGCATATTGACTGACAACTCACTTGACGGTGTCAGAGCCAAGCCGGCAGCCTGATCTCATTCCCCGGTGGCCAGTCCCAGCTGGCAACCTTCCGGAATTGATCGACTTCTAACTAAAAGATATTTTCTTGGCTAATTTCCTCTTTGCATCTCTACCCATCTAGTCCAGAGATGGGTTTAGTGCCAGCATTTCCTTATATCGTCTTCCCCAAGTATCTTTAGAATCCTGCTCGATGTTTCACTTTAGTTGGGAGAGTACATTCAGTGGGAAACCTGTCTAACACTGGAGGGGCCTGATAACAGGGCATTGTCTTGGTTTGGCGCCGATGAGAGTCTATAGGTGGAGAGGGGAGCAGCCAGGGATTCTTGGCTGTGGCATGAGTCGTACGTAGAGATGCACTTGATTGTTATCCAAGTTTTGTTCAGTTTCATTATATTGGTCATTAACTCGCTCTTCGAATTTACGAATCATCTTCCACATCTCCTCAAAGCCACTCTGTGCTCAATCTCAGGTCATGCCGCGGCGGAGTCAAAGTATCTGCCCATGCCGGCTCCAGCTCCGCGCCGACTTAGAGCGTGATGGCCTGCTTGGACTCGCCGGTGATTAGTGTGGCTGGGGCCGTGGTGAAGTTGGGGATGTCGCCCAGGACCACGTCCTTGGCGGCCTTGTTGAATGCCTCAAGCGAAGTCCACTTCAAGACGGCCTGGATCTGGTAGACGCCGCCCTCGGTGAACTGCACAATCTCATAGCTTTTAAGACCCTCAGGGCCCCAGTTCCTATGGTGGAGGTCAGCATTGGTTCTATTGTCCATCTCAATGGACGTATCTCTGCCCAAATCCACCCTCTCCCATGGCTGGCTTTGATGAGTGGGCCGACTTACTTGCCGACAAGAGGCATGTGAGTGTTGAGATAGTAGTCCAAGTCGAACTTGTGACCGGAAGGATAGAGGACGGTGACGGTGGCCATGGCTGCGGGGATTGGCGATGTTTGCGTGGTACAATTGGGAAGAGGCAATCGATGATTTGGAGAGGAAAAGAGGGGAAGCGAGGAGATGTGCCTCTATATCTACAAATGGATGCTGATGAATCCTCCGGTTTTTCTGGTTCCGCGGATTCGATCTCGCCCCCCAAGCTGAGTAATTTATGTACCTGGCAACTGAGGGGTTGGGCTCCCATCCTCCATCTATTCCATTCTCCCGAACTCCGGCAGAGTGGGTTAGAGTCTGTGGCCCCCTCAGAAGCGATCCGATCAGTCTCCGCATCTTGCATCGACTCGATTTGCCCAGTAGCGAAGCAGCGTTTCCCCCACCTGGAGATGGGTTACACTGCTGCCATCCAAGACAGAGTCTGAATTTTCGCGTGACAATGCATTCATATTCGAATTGTAGAAGGGACCTTGGTAAAATACATGAGACAGCTGTTGATTTTATGCCTGTATTGATTTAAACCTTGGTTGGCTTGTGCCGGCTTTAGTGAGTTGAATTCATGTGAATGAACTCACCTCCAAGCAACCCCCAGCACACCAGCTGGCTATTTCTCGTATTCCGTATCTTGGCTGGTTCAATACTACTACCTGCAGAGTTTGAGACAATCTAAGCCCCGAGATGGGAATGGCATCTATCGCCCGGCCATCTCCGGCCTCCCGGACCGGCTGCGACACAATCCGCCCGCGCCGCACCGCTGCCGGGATCGGAGGCTCCCAAAGCAATTGTTCTTTCCATCGTCCTTCTCACCCCCGCAGCAGGGCAGAGGCTGGATAGATGCCATCCCCGTCGAGCAGGTCCTACAAATAAAAGCAGATGGATAAGAAGGCGAATCCCGGTACGTGCAGTCTCGCGCCTGTTCCCGCACTGGAGAGCTAACCTGACGCCTGGTACTAGATTGCAGGACATGCAGGAGACGTCGCATCCGCTGCGACCGCCAGCGTCCGTCCTGTCTGAAGTGTGTCTCCAGAGACCTCACCTGTCCAGGATACGGCCGTCGCATACAGTGGGTCAACGGCGTGGCCTCGCGCGGGCGGTTGAAGGGCCATCCAACCCCCAACCCGGATCATCATCATCAGGATGACGCCCCGGAGAGTGAGCATGTTGACTCCGCAGCAGCCACATCGAGTCCCAGAGATGGACAGGTGACGGACCAGCACATCCAAGACGTCGAGACCGGCGCCGTGGTGCTCTTCCAGCCTCGCCGGCTCCCAGAGCTCCGCGAGGACACGGCCGTCTTCCTCGACTACTACGACAAATCTATCGCCGGGCTCATGGTCTGGTTCGACTCGGACGACAACGCCTACCGCAGCTGCGCCCTGCCCCTCGCCCGCCGCCAGCCGGGCCTCTTCCTGGCCATCGCCGCCGTCTCGGCCTACCACGGCTCGTCCGCGTCGCCCTCGTTCCCCGACCAGGCCCGTGACCGCTGCCTGGCCGTCCTCAACCAGAGCACCCAGGACCTCACCCGCCGCCTCAGCACCGGCTCCAACCTCTCCGCCCGCTCCGACACCCTGCAGGCCGAGTGCCTGCTTGCCTCCATCCTCGTCATCTCCACCTACGAGATGGTCCGCGGCCGCATCCTCGCCTCCGAGGGCCACAAGCGTGCCGCCCGCTCCCTCCTCAACCTCTTCACCTCCTCCTCTTCCTCCTCCTCCTCCTCATCCCCATCCTCCCAGTCCGACTTCTTCCTCTTCCTCCGCAACCAGCTCGCCATCCACGACGTCCTCTCCTCCATCACCGCCTTCCACGACCCCTCCGACCTCCTCGCCACCGTCGTCCCCTACCACACCCCGCGCACCCTCTTCACAGACTACCTCTCCCTCGTCCACGCCGTCACCCTCCTCTCCCGCAACCTGCCCCCCCCTCCCCTCGAAAGCCACTACAGCCTCGCCGACCCCCCCTCCACCCGCGACGCCTTCGAGCAGGCCCGCGCCGCAACCCTCCTCGCCTCCGCCCACCTCCCCTTCAAGACCGCCCCCCTCCGCCGCGACTTCACCCGCATCGTCGACATCTTCCACTCCGCCGCCCTGCTCTACGCCCACCGCTGCCTCGGCTTCATCTCCGTCGACCCCGCCGCCGCCCTCGAGCACGCCCTCCTCTCCCGCCGCCTGCTCGACCAGCTCCTCCGCCTCGAGGACCTGCGCGCCTGGCCCCAGAACCTCCTCTGGCCCGCCTTTATCGCGGGCGTCGAGTGCCGCGGCGACGGGGGCGCGCAAGGGGTCGTCGAGGGCCTGTGCCGCTCGCTCTACGAGGTCACGCGGTTCGGGCACTATCTCGGCGTGCTGGATTTCCTGAGGGCGTTTTGGGCTGGTGACCGGGACGATTGGAGGGGGCTGGCGGGGGAGTGGGAGGCTGAGGGGAGGAGGGTGCTTTTGTCGTAGGTGTCTTGGTGGGGAGTGAAAGATGGGTGTATTACATTGCGTTCAAAGATGGAGGGGGGCAAAACTGTACGTATCATGATCCAATATTCTAAGCTTGTTGAAATTTGATTGATGTTCTCTATCTATCATCTTGTCTTATCTCGCTCGCCTCCGTACCATTCGCCAGTACCGAGGCCGGGACCGTTGTCGAGTATGCCCACGTCCCGTTTGAACCGCCGTAGCCACTCGTCACTGTCGGCCGTCGTGAGGTTCCACGGGTCGCCGCTGTAAAGGGATTATTGTTAGCAACGCTGGTCTGCTCGTCACTGATTTTGATTCGTTGGAGCCACTTACTCTTCGAACATGATCCACCTGGCCTGGTGTCGTAACTCCTCATCAGTTGGAACGTGTTGGTTAGGGTTATGCGGTGACATGGTTGCCGCTACGAATCGTGCCAGCTCTCGAGTGACAATGCGATCGAAACTGGGATCGTTCAGGAAATAGTAGCCTCGTTTCGGATGCTGGATGGTACGCCCGGAATCAGGGGTGTTGATGCCACTGTTCTCATCCTGTCGCAGCTGTTGTGACCCGGGTGGGTGGGGAGAAATAGACGTGGGCGGGTTTCCCAGGGCAAAAGATACGTCGCCGACAGCACCTACTGTCCAAGGTAAATTTGTCCAAGGTAAATGTTTCCTCTTGAACCGCCTCATCCAGGCGTCGTTGTTGGATGCCACTGCTTTCCACTCCGCATCGTCGAACTCGTCGATGGCTGCCAGGAACATCTGTCGCAGATTTGCATCGTCAGGATGGACCCCATGCGCCAAGAGATTTTGAACGAGCTCTGCTAGATTCTTCTCCAGGATATTGTACTTCTGAAGGATAGCATCGAGGTTGGACGAACCCACAACTCCCGGGACTGTGGAAATGGGTGGTTCTGGCGAAGGCGATGGGGCAGATGTACGTTGACGAAAGGGAAGTAACCAGAACGTGGAGGCCTTCACCATTTCAATCAGCCAGGTCGTGGCGATATCACTCATGGAGACGGATTCCCTCTCCATCCGCATGATAATATGGCAGGATTCTTGTTGAAGTTCGGTGTCTGATATAGCCGCATGACCATGGGTTTGCACGAATTGGATAAGCTGTGCTTCTAGGGGACACGACTCAAAAATATCGTTCTTCCCTATGATTCCCGTGTAAGAGAGCCTGCACTCTGAATTGATGCGCAACGGTGCGAGCCTTGCCTTTTGGATGATAGCATCAGAAGACATGATCAGATCCCGCAGCCACGAATCTGCGGGTTCATGCGGGCCGTGGTCCGCATTTTTGTTCTCGTTTATATGTGGTAGATCGGCTGCAAAAAGGATCCGACATGCTTCGACATGAAGTTCTTCAGCGCTGGGGAGCCTCCCTGAGGAATCGTAACGGTTCTCGATATAGTACATTAATTCTAGTTTGATTAATTCAAAAGCATTCGGCGGCGATTCAAGGGGCGCGTTGCTGGCGGAGAACGGGAACGGTGCGTGGCGCTCATGGTCAATCATGTCTAGTACAATGGTTAGCCAGAAAATGCCACCTAAAACATCAAACAAGGTAGAGCAAGACCTACAAGGTGGCATGGAATACGATATCCTATTCGAGACCTCAGGATCAAACCCCCACCCCCCAGACCATTGGGCCATAGTGGTGCCCATCTTGAAGTGTTCTGCGAGGTGATCGACTCTGGCGGACCAGGTATCCATCTCGATGCCGCAAAACCCGCAACGGGACCTGGTTTCGGGGATGTCCATCTTCCACGCGTTCAACTGCCAGTTCAGGTGTTCAGGCTTCACATTGTGGACCAGTCGCAGATGCTGACCCAGGTGGTCCTTCCGGTGGAAAGTTCGCTCAGCAGCAGATCTCTCCTGGCAGGCCGTGAAATTGTGGCTTTCGATGTGTGCGTTGTCTGGGTTGATTTGGTCACAGTAGACACAAGATATTGTACCATCCTCTTTGACGATTCGAGGCCCCTGGGGGGCGCAGAGCCATTTCTCGAGGGCAATATGCAAGGACTTCTCGTGCCGCTGCCAGATGTGCTTCGTCTTGAATGTTTCGGTACAAAAAGTGCACTGGAAAGTGTTCAGGGGAGCCTGCAAGGAGGTTTTGGCATCATTCCGTCTCTTAGCAGCACGAGTCTTGCGTCGCAGTCTGTGCCGTCTTGGCAGTTTCACTGATCCGGCCGAATTCTGGCTGTCGTATGAGTAGGCCGAGCCATCACTTGAACCAGACGTCCCGTTACTGCTCCCGGGTGTACTGTTTAGGCCATCCAACGGGTTGCTGTCAATCGCAGGAGTGTTTCCGAGCCCTTCCTTCTAGTTAGTCTCAAACATCAAACACAACTTGGGTGCCGGCACATACCAAACGGTCCACCAGATGCCATGGCTCGGGCAATGGCATTTGGGTTGGCCGGTTCGGAATCTGGAGGAGAATCAAACCATCGCTCCAGGGGATTCATCTGGGAAGCTTGCCGGTTCATTGCCGGCGTGCCCGGCCGCTGCGGAATATCAATCGGCTTCCCGGAGGGGCTCTGGGTCCGAGGCGATGCTTGGTATTCGGGAATCTTGCCTCTGCGCCGAGCATTGGCAAGCCAATTGAGGATTTGAACCTTGCTGAGGCCGGTTTGGCGTTGAAGACTCTCCCTCTCCTCATCAGTGGGGAAAGGATGGCGGCCATGTGCCGTCAACCAACTACGAAGTATCCGCAGAGATTCCTTGGAGAAGCGAGTGCCAATCTTGGGAGGCAAGGCTTCCTTGGGAGTAGACGAGGCGGTCTGCAGCGTTGGTGTCTGTGGCTGGCTGCTGTTTGCGCTTGAGGTCTGGGTGATGGGGCCAAAGCCGGCCGTATCCAGGTTCGCCGGCTGGACGAAAGACGGCAGATTGAAAGACTCATGTTGAAGAGTATCGCGATGCTGATCCAGGGCCAAGCTGTCAGAACCAAACTGGTTGCCAGAGATGTCCATTGAGTCGTTGACTCCGCCAAAGAGGTCGTCAAAGTAGTCAAAAGCTGCCGGGTCATTGCTCTCGGCGGAGGGCAGAACATCCAGCCCAGGCTCGAAAGGCGAGGGAAACAGGTGGAAAGAGTCGTCTGGATGGTCCATGGCGTGCTCGTTGGTCTCCTGGTGCAAGGATGGTCGACTCGGAGAAAAAACCAACACCCAGGTCGCTCCAGACTGGTCGACACTGGTGGATCAGCCGAGATTTCTCGACACGGAGGGATCGTAGACTAGGTTCCGGCACGGCCAAGGGAAGCAGCTTGACATTCTCACTCAATTCGGGCCCGCTTGGACGGTCGGTGCATCAGGTCAGTAGAGCGAGGCCCTGGAAAATGTGAATAATATATATGCGGTGTCCCCACCGAGTGAATGACTGAATGAAACCGGACCGGCCTGGGTGGAGATGAAAAGACGAATAAAGGGCCAGGCGACTCCGAGAGAGGCAAGAAATCTGGGGAGGGGGAGAGTGGCCAGAGCGGTCCACTAATACTGCGGATGGGACTTGTCAACCGCACCCTATCCCATCCCGCTGCTCACTCTGCACGGGTAACGGTAGTCCCATAACATAATCATCAGCAAGGGCGTGAGGAGGATCAGTTTCCCGTCGCTCGGGTTGTCGCCGTTTCTGTTTCCCCTCCACTTCCGCTCCGGCATCGCTGCGATTCGTGACGTGCGATGACTCAGCAGTGGGCAGAGTCCATTTCCGGCAGGCAAGCACGGGTTGAGGAAGGCACGAGGCAGAGTCACTGTCAATTCAAGCAGTTGCGACCGTGAATTGAGCTTCATTGACTCACCTGGTAATATTTTAGTTTCCTGCCTGTCCCTGGGGTAGGTATGCACATTCATCTAGAAAACCAGGGAGATAAGGTAGGTAGTTTCAATGAGCCGAGGCATCCCAGCTTTTTACGAGTCTCCATCTTCATGCATACAATTGACCGAACGCCTTCTCCAAAATAGCCAACCCAACTCCATCTATGTGTCAAACCCAAACAAAAATGCCAAAAATCGCCTTGTTCTGCCCCAATTGGACAGGCTATTGAGAAAGCCCGCCCATGTCTAGCATGTGACCCATCTTTTCGATCTAGAAAGTAGGAATACAACGTTAACATCCATCCAAGATGAGATCGTAGGAGAAAAAGAACGGTTCTTACCTTGGCCTTGAGATAGCCCTCTACTTCCTGGCTCCTGAACCCGCCACGTCCCTTCCAGGACAGCGGTACCATGGCCACGCGCTCCTTGACAACAATCTCCCTGTTGGGGCCCTCGACAGCCCGGATCTTGTCGGGGTTGTTGGTCAGCAGCCGGATGTCCTGCTGCCCCAAGTCCAACAGCATCGCCGTCGCAAGCCCGTAGCTCCTCGCATCCGCCGGGTGCCGCAGCAGCAGGTTGGCCTCCACCGTGTCCGAGCCCAGGTCCTGCAGGTTGTACGCCTTGAGCTTCTCGCCCAGCCCGATGCCCCGCCCCTCCTGCCGCAGATACACGATGACGCCGCCCGTGGTGTTGCCCGGGAGGCTCATCAGGCGGGCGGCCTCGTCCAGCTGCTCGCCGCAGTCGCACCGCGCGGACCAGGCCGTCTCCCCCGTGTAGCACTCCGAGTGGATGCGCACGAGCGGAGGCTCCGACGAGTCTGAGCCGGCGTCTGACTGGGCTTGCTCGACGTTGCTGCTGGTCCGCCCGGGGTAGAGTCTTCCGGTGTAGGCGCCGCGGATCATGCGGTCCATCTCCGTCTCGCCCTCCCGCGGCGCATCGAGGCTCTTGCTCCGGATGTTGTTCCCAAAGACAATGGCCAAGTGTTCCTTGCTGTCCACGTTGTTGGTGTAGAGGTGGAGAAACATCTCCGTCCCTGCGACGGTGGGGATCCTTGCCCGCACGAGACATTCCACCTCGGGCAATGTCTCAAGCAGTTTGGGCTTCTTGTTGCCACATCCCCCAGACGGGACGGAGCTATCGACTGGGACGCCACGGGGTCCGGCGACGGCGGCAGATCTCGGAGTGTTGGAGCCAGGCGTCGCTGGCGGCGTGAAGGCGGGGGAGAGGAGCGAGGGCGGGGGAAGTTCGCCGAGGGTCGATGTGATGGGCTGTGAGGAAGGAGTCGAGGACCCAATGTTCAGCTCCTCGATGTTCTGGGAGGTGGTGTCGCCATTGTCGGCTGCGGTCGTGCGCGGCGAGTAAAACGGTGGAAGCTTCTGGGAGTCGTCCTGAGCCCCCGCATGTGACACACGCGGCTGGTCTCCGGCGGGCATCTTCAAAGTCGGGTGTCTTCCTGTGGGATGGAAAACCAATGCAAGAATCGGTGCATGCAAAGCCAATGAGGGATAGCCAGGAATTGAATCAGTCAGAAAGACGGCGAGGCTGTCGGCTCCTATAACCGGTGGGCAGGAGAGTTTGGCCGAGGTGATTTATAAGAGAGCGCTGGGGGACCGCCGGGATTAGTCATACTGGAACCATGGCTCTGGATTTCAGGGTGCTCCCCAGTGAGGAGTGCGCTAATAAATAATTGCTGCATGATGTGGTGTGACGTGATGCCGCCAAACCCCGAACAACGGCCACAACCTCGCACCGAAGCGGCAGATGCATCTTCTCTGTTGCAGGTGTGACAAGCATATGCTGGAATGCAATGCACCGGCCGGGAGAGTCTGGCACCCGTCTCTATCTAACCGAGCAGTCCGGCATCCAATTGTCGGATTCTCTCTGCTTCCATGATTTATTCTTGGCGGGAGGTCATCACGGCTGGGTTAGTCGGAATGAGCAAACTACCATTCCGACTGCAGCTTTCCCATCATCTGCCCTCATCGTCACAGCCATCAAAACCCAGGACGACTGTTTTCGGGTTTCCACGGGCTCTGGTGGCGATTGAGTATGTCATTCAAGCCACAAACTCTCAAGCCAGCCAAAGAAATGGTTCCCCGCACGTCAGAAATGAGTTCTGGCCAAGTTAGGAGCATCGGCCAATAGCCACGCGATATGCCTCTTCCACGAAAGGCCAAAGAACTGCCGTAAGGCCCCTGAAGGACCGGGCAGCTTACCTCAAGCTTTGGGCGCAAGGAACAATGCGACACAAGATATCCTTTGGTGATTGGATAATTAAGCTTACTGTCACAGAAATCTGAGATCAGCAGACGGCTCATGCATAACTCAAGGTCACCAATTGGATGCTACTGCAGAGTCTCAAGAACAAAGATTGTTTTTTCCAATTTCTCGTTAAATTCAAATCAAGATGGTCTATTTCGGTCTATTCACAGAATGTACAACAAAGTATATTTATAAACAAGAACAAAGGTTTGTTTCCCTATCATTCTGCGCTAGGCAAGACTCGACGCATCTCCGCATCCGGGATTGCTATTCACACTTAAGCAGCGACGGGGTTGCCGGTACCGTACTCGATGTTGGTGACGGGCAGGTTCAGGGGCGTGGTGACGCCAAGGGTGTGAGGGCAGCTGGGCTGGTTGCTGACGTTGAGGTCGAGGCTGCAGACCTCGTCGACACCCCAGTGACAGATGGGGTCGAGGATGTTGTACATCTCGTAGTTCTGGGCGACCCAGCTGCTGGGCTGGGAGATGCAGGAGGCGACGTAGTTCATGCTGTTGGCGGCGGTGAGGGGCAGCTTCTTGCTGGGGGTGTTGATGAGGTCGGCGCACTCGCTGGCGGGGACGTCCTCGTAGGTCATGGCGACGCCGCCGCCCATCTGGGGGCTCTCGGTCGCGGACTTGCCGGATGAGAGGTAGTTCCAGGCGTCGTAGGAGATGTCGTAGGCGCCGCCGGACTGGTCGATCTTGAGGAGGTTGAGGGTGCGGCCGGAGTCGGTGTGGGTGACGCGGACGCAGATGTTGTCGCAGCCGACGCTGCTGGGCCAGTAGGCGACGCGGTTGGTGTTGATCTTGCAGCCGAGGACGCCGACGGAGGACGAGTACTGGACGTGGGGGGTGACAGAGATGCCGGTTCCGCGCTTGATGGCGGCACCCTCAACGGTGATGAAAGAGGCCGCAATGGCGACGGCAGCAGTGAGAGAAGCGAACATCTTGGATGATGGTTTTGGGTTGGGACTTTCTTTTCAAAAGAGAGTATCAAGTGGTTATCTCAACGCGCTGCGAGAGTATGGTTCTGAAGGACTGTAGGAGAGTGATTGCAAATGAGTGAATCACTGAATGTGTAACGGCTCAGCCGAGTGAAGGATAGACAAGAGAGTGAAGAAAGTCTCAAAGAGTGAGAGTTGGTTGCTGAGAAGGAAAAACAGAAGACATAACCAGGACGGGGGAGGCATCTTTATAGATGGCGACGAGATGTGCCACTGACTCTGATCTACCAGAGTTTTCTTTTCTTCCTCCCATCGAGAAGGTAGGTCCCCCGGCACACCCTTGTTCGGCTGGGCTCCAGTCAGAGTATACATTCGACGCTACTATCCTATGTATATCCCTCTCCCTACACACATGTCCTGTGCTATACACCGTGCATGTGTTGCGGGTAGAGGCTAGGCGCAATCGGGGAGTCGCCCTCCATCGAGGAAGCTCAAGAGCTGGAACCACGTCCTAGCTCCTCTGATGCTGGGATCACATTCGGACCATTTTGTGAGCAGATGGTGGGGCCGTCAGTCTTGGTCTTTGACCTGCCTCAGATCCCTGTGGGATGGATGCTAGTCAGGGTGGTGGAGAGGGCCATGTGTCGTGGTGGATGTGCTGGAGTCAGTCAGCCAAGACGTCTGACTGCTATTCCGGATGTACTTTATCTGAGGGCCAATGTAGGAGGAGGAAGACCCCTGAGGGAAATCACGCATCCAACCCCGGCTGGGCTTAGCCTGGCCGCGACTTGCCTGTTCCTGGATGGTATTCTCTCAGACCGGTCTCATTGGTGGTTTTCCTTGATGGATCCCAACGCCACTTACACCAGAGCCAACACTCAGGAGGTAGGCGTTTTTTTCATAATCAAGTTTTTTTTAATGTCAATTGCACAATTCTATCCCTTCTCATGATTCAAACCCCTCTAATGCAGAACTAGAAGATGAGCAGCGAGGCGTCTAGGTTGGTTGGGAGTATCTAGCAGTCGGGCGAGACGCCAAAAAAACAAGCTTGCTGGGGATGAGACGACGATCCGGCGGGATCCCTTCTAAA